TTCCCATCCTGAGACCCACCCCCCTCCCAATCCCCTGCAGGGGCACTGCACCCAGACCCCCCCTAGGATCCTCCCCCTCCCCAGTCCCCTCCTGACATTCCCCAGAGCACCCAGAATCCTCCCCCCCACCTCGGGGGTCCTTGGGCCGGGGGTCCTTGCGCTTGCGTTTGCGTGACGGCTTCACCCAGGGGCTGTCGCTCTTCCAGCGCTTCCTCGCCTTCCGCTTGGTGCTTGATGCGCTCTGGGGGACAGGTCAGGTGAGGGGGACGCAACCCCCCAGCCCTGCTGGTGCCCCTCACTCCCAGTCCACAGCCCCCTGCCCTCCCCAAGCCCCTCACTCCCAACCCATAGCCCCCAGGCCCTCTCATAAGCCCTGAAGTTCCCCCACCCCCAACGCCCACCCCATCCTGACCTGTGCCCTCTGACCCCAGCCACGCTCTCCCCTTAAGTCTCCAACACTCCACAAACCAAACCCTCAGCTGTGGTCTCTGACCTCTGCACACCCAAGCTCCCATGCTAGGCCTTTGACTCCCACCCTCACAGGCCATGCACTCCAGGCTCTGAGCCCTGACCTTTGCTGAGCCCAGGCCTGACCTCTGACCCCATATCCACATGCAATCTAAGCCCCTGAGCCCACTCCCCAGGCCCCTCCTCCCCATCTCTGACCCCCAACTTGTACTCTCCAACCTCTGGCCCCATCCAGCCTCAGCTCTGGAGTACACAGCTCCACCCCGGTGACCTCCGACCCCACCAGGGCGCCTCACCCTATCTGAGGTGTTCCCGGACTCTTCATCCTCATCATCGTCGTCTTCATCGTCTTCCTCCTCTTCCTCTTCCTCGTCCTCCTCTTCCTCCTCCTCCTCCTCTTCACTCAACTGCTCCCCAGCCCCATCCGCCTCTGACTGCGGGTGGGGCCCAGCATGGTGAACCCAGGTGTCCAGGCCTAGCCTGACACCGTCCCCCAGAGCCATCCACAGCTCCTGTCCCTGTTATGCCCAGCCCAGCCCCCGCGCCCCCACCTTGCTGTCCGAGTCATTGTGCCCATCCACTGAGTAGCTGTCATAGAAGAGACTGAAGTCGGCTCCCACCTCGGCCTCCCACTCATCGGGGCCCCGATCCTCGCCCGCTGGCCCCAACGGCCGCGCTGCCATCTCCTCCGTCACTGTGATCTGGGGGGCAATGGGCAGGGGGTCAGAGCTCGGCCCAGGCTCCCAGCTGGACGGGGACCCAGGCGCCCAAGAGGGAGAGCTCCCAGGTAGGGAACCCAGGTGCAAGGGGAGGGTGTCAGTAGAAGGGAACCCAGGTGTCTACGAGGAGAGAAAGGAAAAGTCAAGGGAAAAAGGATCCAGACATTGCAGCGGTGGGGTCAGGAGTAGGTAACCCAGGTGTCCAGGATGCAGTGGAAGGGAAGGCAACCAGGTGCCTGGGGACAGGGTTCAGGGGACCCAGGCATATGGGGCAGGTACCTCAGTGCTGGCACGGGGCAGGGTAGGCGGCAGGCGCTTGTGCAGGGACTCAGGGCCGTAGTCCAGTTTCCGGCGCTTGGCGGGTTCTGGGGGGGTACAAAGGCGTGAGGGAGGTGGCAGCCACTCTTGCGGTGTCCCTCACTTCCAACCTGCAGCCCCCCCACCCCACTAGTACCCCTCATTCCCGACCCGCAACCCAGATACCTGGCTCCTCGATGCTACGGAGATCGTCGGAGACGCGGAAATGCAGCATCTCGGACACGCGCTTCTCCGGCACCTGGGGGGGGGCAGCAGGCTGGGACGCAAGCATCTGGGGCACCCCCCAACCTCTGCCAGCCCTTGCCCCCCACACCCAGCCAGATGCATCCCACAAATGGGACACATGCATCTGGGACCCCTGCCCCCCATCCCACCGCAGAACCCCTGGGAAGAGCCCAGGCATCTGGGAGACCCCCCCACCCACAAAGAACAGGCTAGGGAAGGAACCCATGTGGCGAAGGGACCCCCACCTCCAGAGGAAACCGAGGCGTCTTGGCACCCACCTGTCCGTTGCCGGGCTTGGCCATGGTCTTGCGGGCCCGGTGCACCTTGGGCTTGGGCTCCGGGCTTGGGGGTGCCAAAGGCGGGGCCTCAGCAGGGGCGGGGCCCATGCTGGGGGCGGGGCAAGGGGCGGGGCCAGCCCCCGGCAGGCTTAGCAGCCGCATGGCCAAGCTCTGCACCGAGGGTGGCGACTTCCCCGCCCCGGTCAGTGACATCTTGGCCCGGCTCGGGGCCCCCCCGGGCCCCACTGGCGGTGACGGCAGGGTCTTGGCAGCGTGGCCTACCGGGGGGGGAAGGGAGTGAGAATGGGGCCCAGGACCCAGGTGTCCCCAGGAATTGGCCCCCTTCCCTCTCCATCCCTGCCGGTGCCCCCCACTCCCGACCCGCAGCCCTGGCCCCCCCACTCCCGACCCGCAGCCCCCCCCCCCGCAGCCCCCCCCCCCCCC